AGCTAGTGAATGAAATGTTGCAGTCCTGTTCCAGAAGCACACAGTGTTCAGAATAAAGTAAAACATTTGGCATTTTTAATTATAGAGAATTTCATGTATAGTGAGGAAAGACTAAAGTGTAGTTTCGTTTCTTTCTTTTTTTTACTTTTTATTTTGGCTATATAAGTACTGATTTGTTTTATAACAAAGAAAAAACAAATAAACAACAAAAACAAAAAGGATCAAACTGTTCACGAAACTTGAAACTTTGTTATAAAACAAATCAGTACTTATATAGCCAAAATAAAACAAACAACAAAATAAAAAAAACAAACAAACAACAAAAACAAAAAGGATCAAACTGTTCACGAAACTTGCAAAAGTGCAAAGCTGCACAGAGAGGTATTTGCGCTGAACTAACCAAATGGGTGGAACCCCGTAATGTCAGCCTTATAAGCCCTCAAGGGCTCGGGAGAGCACGCTTTTACCTCCAGCGAATATTTTTAGGGTTTGTTGATATAGATAAAATCTCTGAACAAAACGTACTGTTACAGGTATGGTGTGATATGTATACCACTTCTGGAAACCTCGCGTTTACATAGGGTAAAAAAAAATACAAAATATTTCACTGACAAAACAAGGAGATAATAACTTCGTACCATTTTTATATTAGTGTTATATAACTGTTATCGTCTACTGAAAAACACTCACAGGACATAAAGTTAACATAGACTAAATGTGTACTTCGTTGGTAATTGGTTATCATTAGGTTTATAATTACGAAGGAGTTAGGATTTTCAACCTGAATAGTAAGTACCTTATCAACCGATGAATTAGACGGCCAGGCCAGATACTACTAAGCTTTTATGTTTAGTATTTGGTAATAATGAAGTGTATTATAGTTTAGCTATCAAGTGAGTGTTGTTCTATCGTATCCTTACTGTTTCGTATATAGGTACTAACTCTGTTGTTATAATTCATTAACTCGATAAATGTACTTACACATGTCTTACGCCCTTCAATAAACGCTTGGCAGATTAGCCTTTAGCCCTTAGCCCTTAAGCTTACATTTCTTTTCTGAATGCGTGAGTGTCGTTTAATGACCCACGTGGAGAAATTGCATCCTTGCAGCGGTCACGCCTTGAACTTAACAAATTAATTAATTTAAATTCAACAAAAATTGTTGTTCTCCGGTGACTCAGTGGTAAATTTAGAGCATTAAAAATCGGGTTTCGATACCCGTGGTGGACAGAATAAACTCCTTAGTTTTTTTTTATATGAGTGATATTTGAAACCGTGGGTACTTGGTGAAACTCCATAATTACAGAATTGAGGAAAACAAGACAATGGTACGTTTCACAAATACATCATTTATAACGACCTTGGTTTCGCCAGTAAATGTATCATCGGGCACCATGGCGAAACCAT